TCCCATGTGGAAGTCTATTTTCTGTGTGGAGCAGTTTTACACATCATTTGTAATGAGATTTAAGATGATTAAAATGACTAACTGTGAATTTGAATGTGGGAGCCATGTGATTGATAAACACAATGATCACAGTGTGTCAGCAGTAACGCTATGAGGAGCTAAATGATGGCTGTGGTGCTGAACATCTCCCTGTTCTGCAGTGTGCTGCAGTTGTATTTTTATTGTTTTTATGGTGGTAGACAAATGAATTTCTGAAAGTTAAGACAATGTGGACAAAGGACCTAAATATGTGTTGGGTGTAATCAGAATACATCTGTTCTAACTGTCAGTGTTACAAGTCTGGTCAGGGTTAGAAGTCTTTTGTACAACTGAGGAAGTAGAACATTCTTTCTGTCTTAATCATTTGTTGGTGTTTTTCACTGTCAACTGAACAGCATCTGAACCCCGGGCCTCACTGACAGCAGACAGTAACATCATACCAGCAGGGGGCAGTGTGACACTGACCTGCTCTGTGAATGAAGACGCAGGGTGGAAGTACTACTGGTTCAGACGTACCTCATCATCCTCTACACTTGAGACAATAAGATATGGTGCACGATACCGCACTATCAGTATTTCAGAAGGAGGAATCTATCACTGCAGAGGAGAAAGAGGAGACCCAGTTTTCTATACAGAGGACAGTGAAGCCATTACAATTGACGAAAGAGGTGAGTGTAGTGTTCTGTTTTGAAATCAGACATCGTTCATGACTAACATGACAGTTATAACTGATAACTGCAGAGTTTTTGCTATTTTTTTTATTGTTGTTTTTATTCGCTTTGTGGACATTTGTTGAACAGTTTTGGAAGCTGTCGTCACACGGCATCCCAGCTGGCCTCAGATATTCAGAGGGGAGACGATAACTCTGAGATGTGAGATCCAAGATGGTGGAAACATTCAGTGGGAGTATGAATGGGGAACTACCANAATGTCTTTTTACTGTGAAAAGTTTTGAGTGTAAACTGCTCAAAAGCAACAATGGCAAAAGCATCCAAAATAATTTAGTGCTTCCTTTCGATGCACACGTCTGAATGTCGATGCTGAGACGAGGTATTGTGCAGCCCGAATCCTGTTACATCCTGTTGTTCATGTATCAGTACATATTATAAAATGGTCCCATTTGACCTGAAGTCCTTTCAGTGGGCCCACAACAGCAGATGTTGTTCACCCTTGAAGCAAATTGTGTTTTTCCAAAAGTTTGTTGGCTTTATACAGGTGGGTTTTCTTTTCATGCTCTCATTTATTTTCTTTCACTCAAATATCTTCACGGATCCAATTAGTGATCCAACAGAGGACAGAGACATGTCTGCTATGGAGACTACAATCAACTGGTTAATTACAGGGAAAGTCAGTCAGAGCAGCTGTGCTTGCAGTTTGCTTGGGTATTGGGGTGTGTGCTCGCTGTGACGGTGGCTTATCTTATTTAGTGTGGGAGTTGATAGCTTTCAAACAGTACAAATATGCAGTAGATGGGTGACCAATTTGGAACAATCGTGAAATTTGTTGCAAATCCCCAGTCCCTATTTCCTATTTCCTTCCTTCCCTATTTAATCACAGAAACAGGACAACAACAAATAAATATTGCATCATATTTCTTCCTTCCAGGTTTTGATGCTGATGGTTTGAACTTTAACATGCTGAATTCTGAAAAGTTGTTCAGTTTGGTTGTGCCAAGCTGTGTATGGAAGAATCTGGGGTTGTAATGCTTCACATCTCCCTTTTTTCAGTGAGTCACCTGCTGCTCTGGTGTTTTTTTATTTTTTTTAACGACGGTAGCGAAATGATTTTGTGAAATAGGACATCAGTTTAGAGAAAAGGGCTCGATGTAAGTTTATTGTCATCAGAGTACAAGTCTGGTCAGGGTTAGAAGTATTTTGTACAACTGAGTTAGAAAGTAAAACATTCATTCTGTCCTAATCATTTATTTGTGTTTTCTGCTGTCAACTGAACAGCATATAAACCCCGGGTCTCACTGAGAGCAGACAGTAACATCATACCAGCAGGGGGCAGCGTGATGCTGACCTGCTCTGTGGACGAAGACTCAGGATGGAAGTACTACTGGTTCAGACGTACCTCATGGTCCTCTACACCTGAGAGAATAAAATATGATAAACGATACCGCACTATCAGTATTTCAGAAGGAGGAATCTATCACTGCAGAGGAGGAAGAGGAGACCCAGTTTTCTATACAGAGAACAGTAACACCATCACAATCAAGAAAGGTGAGTGTAGTGTTCTGTCTTTTAATCAGACAACATGCATTTATGAGTGATGTTAGCAGTAACAGTATTTTCTTTTCATCCACTGTGTGAATATTTGTTGGACAGTTTTCAATAAATCTGTCGTCACACGGCATCCCAACTGGCCTCAGATATTCAGAGGGGAGACGATAACTCTGAGATGTGAGATCCAGGATGGTGGAAACATTCAGTGGGAGTATGAATGGAGAACTACCAGTTCAGAAAAAACCCCAGAAAACACTGAACGCTGGGTTATCAGTACTTCTGAGTCCAGTGATGGAGATTACAGGTGCAGAGGTAAACTGAAAAGTGACTCGTTTTCCTCAACAGAGTGGAGTGATGCCTTCAGACTTGTGTCGTGTAAGTTCCTTATCTTTCATCCATATAAAAATTTGCTGTTTTGCAATATTTCATCTACATATGCAGAGAACACACAGAAAGGGAAACACTTGTCTTGAAGCAAAGGAAGAGATGTTTAAAGCTACTTGCAGTGTCTCCTCTACTGATTTCTGGTCTGTATCATTGCCAATGCTGTGAAATACATGCAACATTTCTGCAATCAATCATTAAATATTTTTCCTCATATTGCTGAAATGTATTCCACTGATGGTCTTCAATTGATGTAAATGATTAGATTTAAATAAATTAAAATCTATATGCTTTTAAATGGTGGCATGCATTAGTGTCAGAATAGCTTTTCACATATGTCTACAAGTTGTCAAATTCAGAAATGTTAATTTCCAGTATTGGATACCATCAGAATGTGGACTTAGCTGCCATTTGTTTTCAGAGACAGTCTGGCTTGAGTCCAGGTCTGGTTTGTATCAAGGTGTAGATGAGTGAAGGACCTCCCATGTGGAAGTCTATTTTCTGTGTGGAGCAGTTTTACACATCATTTGTAATGAGATTTAAGATGATTAAAATGACTAATTGTGAATTTGAATGTGGGAGCCATGTGATTGATAAACACAATGATCACAGTGTGTCAGCAGTAACGCTATGAGGAACTAAATGGTGGCTGTGGTGCTGAACATCTCCCTGTTCTACAGTGTGCTGCAGTTGTAGTTTTATTTTTTTATTTTTTATGGTGTTTGACAAATGAATTTCTGAAAGTTAAGACAATGTGGACAAAGGACCTTAATATGTGTTGGGTGTAATCAGAATACATCTGTTCTAACTGTCAGTGTTACAAGTCTGGTCAGGGTTAGAAGTCGTTTGTACAACTGAGGAAGTAGAACATTTATTCTGTCTTAATCATTTGTTTGTGTTTTTCACTGTCAACTGAACAGCATATAAACCCTGGGCCTCACTGACAGTAGACAGTAACATACCAGCAGGGGGCAGCGTGACACTGACCTGCTCTGTGGACGAAGGCTCAGGATGGAAGTACTACTGGTTCAGACGTACCTCACCATCCTCTACACCTGAGACAATAGAAGATGAAACTCTATCCCACACCATCAGTATTTCAGAAGGAGGTATCTATCACTGCAGAGGAGAAAGAGGAGACCCAGTTTTCTATACAAAGGACAGTGAAGCCGTCATAATTGAGAAAAGAGGTGAGTGTAGTGTGTTGTTTAGAAAACAGATAACATGCATTCATGAGGATTAATTCTTTGTTTGTTTTTTTTTTTTTTTTAAACTTTCAATTTCTGTTGGGAACNAGGGCCACACTTAGAGACAGACAACCAAGCACACTCACATTCACACCTACGGACAATTTAGAATCACCAATTAACCTCAACATGTTTTTGGACTGTGCGGGAGGAAGCTGGAGAACCCAGAGAGAACCCACGCTGCACAAGGAGCACATGCAAACTCCACGCAAAAAGATAGCGGGTGTCCTCACCGGGACGCAAACCGGCGACCTTGTAGCTGTGAGGCAACAATGCTAACCACTGTCCACCTTGCAGCCCCAGTTTAGTGTATCATTTGTAATGTTATTTATGGATGATTAAAAAGAATACCCAGTTATAAAAGTATGAGGGGAAAAAATAGTGACTATTGTGCTGCACATGTTTCATTAAAAACAATGTGTCACATGCTACTTTTATATAAGTAGACAAATTAATTTGTGAAAGTCAAGTCAGTGTGCATGAAAGGGCTGGATATAAGTTGGGTGTAATCAGAATACATCTGTAATAACTGTCCGTGTTACAAATCTGGTCAGGGTTAGAAGTCTTTTGTAAACAGAGGAAGTAAAACATTCATTCTGTCAACTGTACAGCATCTGAACCCCGGGCCTCACTGAGAGCAGACAGGAGAATCATACCAGCAGGGGGCAGCGTGACACTGACCTGCTCTGTGGACTATGAATCAGCGTGGAAGTTCTTCTGGTTCAGACGTACTTCATGGTCCTCTACACCTGAGACAATAAAATATGATGCTCTATCCCAGAACATCAGTATTTCAGAAGGAGGAATCTATCACTGCAGAGGAGGAAGAGGAGACCCAGTTTTCTATACAGAGTATAGTGAAGCCATCCCAATTGAGAAAAAAGGTGAGTGTAGTGTTTTGTTTTGAAATCAGACAACATGCATTCATGACTAACATTACAATGACATCTGATAATCACAGAGCTTTTGCTTATTTCATATTCTTTCTTTTTTTTTCACTTTGTGTATATGTGTAACAACAGTTTTCAACAAGGCTGTCGTCACACGGCATCCCAACTGGCGTCAGATATTCAGAGGGGAGAAGATAACTCTGAGATGTGAGATCCAAGATGGTGGAAGCATTCAGTGGGAGTATGAATGGAGAACTACCAGTTCAGAAAAACCCCTAGAACACACTGAACGCTGGGTTATCAGTGCTTCTCAGTCCAGTGATGGAGATTACTGGTGCAGAGGTAAACCGAAAAGTGACTCGTTTTCCTCAACAGAGTGGAGTGATGCCATTACAATACCTGTAACATGTAAGTCTTCTTCATTCACAGCATTTCATTCATTTCGTTTGAGTAAAATTTTTAGAGTCTCACAAAGTAAATAAGTGTAGTCACTTTTTCAAACGAACTCATTTGATGATCGCAGTGATGAGTTTTTTGTGGCCATGGTACAGCTATAGTTCCACCATTAAAGGTTCATGATCTTTGTTATTTCCAGTATTCCATCAATTCATTTAATGGGGCCTTAATCATGGGGCCAGTTCTTAATTTTTTGTTTTTGTTTTGAACTTAAAAGTTCTTAGTATTTAGACATATTGAGATTTGAGATGCTAAACATTTAGATGGACTTAAAGTTTGTAATATACTATATATTGTTTATGAAGGCAACATTTTTGGAGAAATTGTACTTGAAGTTCAGACTGCACATGATACATGTTTTATTCTGTAATCCTTCATTCCACCAGATAAACCCAAAGCTGTCCTCACTGTGTCTCCATCATGGCTGAGTCCTGGAGCCTCAGTAACTCTGAGCTGTCAGGTTGAACATTCGTCTGCAGGATGGAGGTTCTACTGGTATAAGGCTGTTCCTGATCTATCAGACAACTCCTACAGTGCTGAGCTGCTGCCTGGTAGCAGCAACGGGACTGAAGAAGATTCCTACATTGTTGATGGACAGACACAGACAGCAGGATATGCATGTAGAGCTGGAAGAGGAGACCCAGTGTATTACACTGATGACAGTGNAGAATACATCTGTTCTAACTGTCAGTGTTACAAGTCTGGTCAGGGTTAGAAGTCTTTTGTACAACTGAGTAAGGAAGTAAAACATTCATTCTGTCTTAATCATTTGTTTGTGTTTTTCACTGTCAACTGAACAGCATCTGAACCCGGGGCCTATCTGACAGCAGACAGTAACATCATACCAGCAGGGGGCAGCATGACACTGACCTGCTCTGTGGTCGAAGGCTCAAGGTGGAAGTACGACTGGTTCAGACGTACCTCACCATCCTCTACACCTGAGACAATTGAAAATAGGGAACGATACCGCACTATCAGTATTTCAGAAGGAGGAATCTATCACTGCAGAGGAGGAAGAGGAGACCCAGTTTTCTATACAAAGGACAGTAACACCATCACAATCAAGAAAGGTGAGTGTAATGTTCTGTTTTGAAATCAGACAACATGCATTCATGAGTGATGTTAGCAGTAACAGTATTTTCTTTTCATCCACTGTGTGAATATTTGTTGAACAGTTTTCAAAGCTGTCGTCACATGGCAGCCCAACTGGCCTCAGATATTCAGAGGGGAGAAGATAACTCTGAGATGTGAGATCCAAGATGGTGGAAACCTTCAGTGGGAGTATGAATGGGGAACTACCAGTTCAGACAAAACCCCAGAACGCCCTGAACGCTGGGTTATCAGTGCTTCTCAGTCCAGAGGCAGGAAGTTCTGGTGCAGAGGTAAATCAAAAAGCGACCTGTATTCCTCAACAGAGTGGAGTGATGCCATTACAATACCTGCACGTCCAGTAACTTGTAAGTTGGACATCTGTTATCCATATGGAAATATGTGTTTTGAACTCCTGTCTAAATATGCAGAGAACACACAAAACAACACACTAGTGTTTCAGTCTAAGAGAGATTTTTAAAACCACTTGTCATGTCTTGCCTTATTACTTCCTCTCAGTGTCACTGCTGATACTTTACAATCAGGGCAAAATTCATAATGAAGAAATGTCATTGGTCACAGTGAAACATCCAGGAGAGCAAGGAATGTCAGTGTATGCCTTGTGCTTTTCCACTATAAATTAAATGCAGCAAAAACACTGAATCTCTGTCAACTGCTTTACCTCACCAACAGAGCAAAAGAATGTTTAACTGAGGGAATCCACATGTTCTACTGATGTGACTTTTTTTTATTAAACTCTTGAAGTTAACTCAGTTTAGAGACAAGCAGCTACACATATGTACTATTCCCTCTTGCAGCAGTGTATTGTGATGCAGGTAGTTCAGGTGTTTGCTTTGTGCGTATACTACTGCTGATATATTATTTGATAGATGTTTTTAAAATAAATCTCGAGGGACTTGAGGGTGGTGCACATTTTTATCGTCTGGTCTCATCAGTAAAGCATGCTGACTCTTTAGTCAGCCAATGAAAACTGAGCACCAGACTTTAGTACATTGAAGACTGATCTGATACATTTGAAATTCAGTTGCCTTTTCATTATTAAGATATGTTCCGCTGATGACCTTTAATTGATGTAAACAAATAAATAATAAAAGAAATGTTGACGTGCATTAGCATCAGAATAGTTTCCTGACATTATGGCTACGAGTTGTCAAATTCAGAAATGATAATGTCCAACATAATGCTTCGGTTTTTAGAATTTGTTAATGTAAAAATCTGGACTCAGCTGCTGTATCTTTTAAGAGATATTCTGGCTTGAGTCAAAGTCTGGCTTCTATCACGGTGTAAATGAGTGAAGGACCTCCCATGTGGAATTTTATTTTCTATGTTGACCGGTTTAACATCCATCCATCCATCCATCATCTATACACCTCTTAATCCTCACCAGGGTCGCGGGGGGCTGGAGTCTATCCCAGCTGACTCAGGGTGAAGGCAGGGGAC